ATTTAACGAAATAACAAGGGTACATGCTAAAAATGACAAATAAAATCTCAAAAACTTTAATGAGCATTTCTAAACTTGTGGTTATGGATTCTCCTTCACTTCCTTTCCACTTCCTAAAAATGTTAAGAAGGGGTGAGCAACACTTGCTCAGTAGAAGTGGCTAAAACACACTTCCTATTGCCACGTGAGCTATGTAATCAAAGAATGGGATATAGAAATGGAGGGATCATGCTTAGCATTAGGGAAGAACTAAAATACAACATATAAACCTCTTCAATAAAGTAAAATAACGATAATATCACAAGTAACCACGTCAACTTGAGACTTCTAGACAATTAAATGCCATGTGTATGCCATGTGTATGCCATATGCTATGAATGCACACACACATTCACACACAATATCCATTAATCCCAAACCAACTCAACCCACACCAAAACAGTTAACACGACCAAGCAAGGTATTTGCCTACACCACGAGGAACTTTGTAATCTATCCCTGGCAAATAATCATCTTACAACCATTTGGGGCCTAGAAGACTCAACCCTCTAGGTTGGTTAATACACCCGGAAATGGAATCTGCCGACAATTCTGATTTTTCACAAACATTTGTCTACTAAACTTCAGGAAATCCACCATAACTTTAGAAAGTCATTCTCCTCACTCAAACCACCACACACATCCACACCACCACATCATGCATGTGTGATGAATGCTCCAAACAAGTCCACAATTCAATTTCACCATGAGGGATTATCACATAACTAAGACCATTTAGTAGGCATACTCTTGTATAACATTATTAAATAAGCAATTCCACATTAATAAATAATCAAATACTTATCATGTTTGCTAACATGACAGCTCAAATTACATACAAGTGCAAAGTAATTTCATCATTTATACAAGTTTAACTCATGGCATGCTAGTGAACATATACAATAGAACTCATAAAACATAAGAATAATCATCATATAACTGTGGTACCATAGTAAACATGTTTTGCAATGCACAATTTCATACTCTAGCTTCACATTGGCATTTCATCGAACACACAGTATGCTTGTGAACATATTATTCATATTAGCTCCATTTAACCATAGCATGTGTACTAATAGTCCAGTTAGGCATGAATTCCTTTCAATTACACAAAATCTCACAAATATATAGGCTTATTCATATACAACTAGCATGGTGGTTGACAAGTAAAGCACATTGTATCAAGTTAAACATGAATTTAACAAATGTGATTAATAATACAACACTAAAATGACAAGGAGTCCAACCATGTAATAAACTAATTAGGGTAAGAAACATGGTGAATATACAGTTTAGCTTACTTTAGTACAATAAAACACCAAATATACTCACAAAGCCTAGGATTTAGTGGGTTAGACACCCCGACCTGAATTAGAAGGAAAAGCCCCAAGTTGTTCCCAAGTGAACTTGCACCAATTATCAAACAAATAACAATGGATTATAGCCTTGAAAAGATCTACAACTTCCTCTACTAGCAATCTTGCAAAATCTCAAGCAAAGGAGATCAAAACCTTGTCTAAAGGTTGCAAACATTATGAAGGAAGATGAAGAAAGAAAATGAGGAATGAAGGGGGGGGGGGCTGCTGTCGGTAGAATGAAGGGGGGAAATGTCCCTTTTCTCATCCACTCACTTAAATAATCCAGACATCAGTGGAAGAAGGGTCCCACCAATATAACTATTATATGACCATTATGTCCCTTTATTCTCTACACAACACAATACTTATATACATAGCCTCACGCTTGTAATTTAAGTGCACTAATTAGGGACGAGCCCAGAAAATTATATGAGGGGGGGCGACCTTTAACAACAATAAGATACAAAATAAAATCAAACCATCATAATAAGCAAAAAACACTTAAAAGTTTATTGTTAAGTCCATTGAGTACATTTGCAATTGTCCTCGACGATTTTTCATATCTTGAAAATGCCGTATAATAACTTCATTATCTATACCAATAGATAGATCTTTTTCAATTAATATACACTTTGTTGTACAATATTGTATAAGTTGTCATGTTGTACAGTATTGTATGAATTGTCACACGTGTACAGTTAGTATTGTATGAGTTGTCACACGTGTACAATTAGTATTGTATGAGTTGTCATCTACCCTTCATTACCATATATAGAATTATTATGTATAAGGTTTACTTGTTCTCCACTCACCTACTCCCGCAACTTCTCCTATATAAACACCATTGTATTATTGTAGACTCCCCTTGAGAAATAAATCCAGGTGGTTGCTCTATACAAACTTCTTCAAGCTAGTCATAATGTAAGAAGGCATTTTTCACATTTAATTGAAACAACGGCCAATTCTGATTGACAACAATGGAAATAAGAATTCGGATAGAAGAAATCTTTGCAATAGGAGAAAAGGTTTCATCATAATCAGCACGATAAGTCGGGTGTACCCTTTTGTAACAAGTCGAGCCTTCAACTGCTCAATAGAACCATCATGGAGGTATTTGATAATGTAGACCAACTTACAACCAACCAGTTTGGAACCATGAGGTAAAGGTACAAGATCTCATGTCCCATTACGATGAAGGGCATCCATTTCATCTACCATTGTTTATCGCTAATCTGGATTCAAAAGAGCATCCTGCAAAGTCTTGGGAAAAAGAGTGACAAACAACCGGGATAAAAAAAATAAGAAAAAAATGGTGATACATGATTATAAGAGACAAATAATTTCCTCTACCTAATAAATGTTGGTTTATGTGTAAACATTATATTTATTTTTGTGATTTATTGAATTTACCAATATTTTTATCACTTAATCGTTATTCATTTCTTGTTGTAAATTAGATGGCCACTGCTGGAGAAAAAGTATGAAAGCAGTACAAGACTCAAGGACACACTCTATCTAAGGGCAAAATAGTTATCTCACCAGTAGAAGAGCTTTAACAACTATTTTGTCAAACAGATAGAAAAATTCTTCTGCCAGTACAAACTCTTATAAAATAGAGTACCCAAACACTAACACAAAGGCCAAATCAAAGTGATAAATTATGCTTCTCTGGTTCTTCTGCGTAAAAGCAGAAGCAAAAACTATGCTAAACAAGCCCAAAATTAAAAATGGGATGTGCAGTAACACAAGATCAAATACCTTTACACAAGGCAATAGGGAGATCCTCAGCACGAGAAAGGCCTCAAGAGAAGTAGACACTTGGTGGGATGCTTCCTTTGGTCGTCGACGATACACTTGAAGTGGATGTGGTGTGATAGTCTCAATTAAAGTAGACAAAACAAATAAGGGAAGCAACAAATCAGTATTTAAAGACAAACCAAGTGAAGAGAAGTAAGGAGTGTCCTAAAAAAAGGTGACATTCATACACACAAAACCACTACAACTACTAGGATCCCAACATTTATAACCCTTTTGAGTTCTAGAATAGTCAACAGGTAACTGGTATTTAGTTGGACTGCGTATGATCACTCTTGATGGAGACACACCCATTTGAGTGCGAAAATGGGGCTACTTATGTAGGATCTAGACTGACTTGATCCTTAGCGAGACTCAAAAGCGTGGATTCAAGACATATGACTAAAAAATGTCAAAGTTTAAGTTTTCATCTTCGAATAGAAGTGTGTGAGGTACTTCTAGTTTATCAACGCAGTTCTTAGTTCAAGACTTTGTTCACCAAGCTCCTAAATAAGCCTAGAAACATCTTCACAAGGTAACGGTTCAACTCCAAAAGACACATTTACTAATCACACAGTTGAACCAATCGTTCATAAGTAATTATTTTTTAAAATTTTTTTGAAACAAGTGGGAGATTATTGGAACGTGTTTCAAAATTATATATAAATATTACCTTTTATTTAATCTCCCAAAATATTTAAAATATATTAATTTGGACCGTCCGATCGTATGGCGACTAATGACGAGTTTCTTGTACATAACGGAACTCTCAACTTTTAGACTCTCATCATTAAATACATTATTTAATCACCCCATTAATAAATAGTTAACTATATTATTTATTTACCCATAAGTGATTTGTAAAATTTGACTCTTAGGTTGCTTGATTAAATATCATATTTAATTATTCTTTTATATGGAGACTATATATGGCCCTAGGGTGAGCCTACACATAATAGAGACCTATACTCAGAAATCTGAACTTGAGATGAGTAGAAAATATAGTAAGTGGAGTTACCAAATTCAGAGAGATTCAAATAAAAATTTGACAAAGTCCACAATCTAACATGTGATGACCAACTCAAGGTGCTGGAGAGGTTCTGGTAGAGGTTTGACAACGTAATTGTGAATTTTGATAAATTTTTTGGTAATAAAGTTATGGAATTTATGAATTCCATTTTGGCAAGGTTATCTACATATACATGTTTGAATATAATTTTCTAAAATTAAATTTTATTTTGGACCAATGATTAAACGAAAATAAATACATGAGCTCAAATAAGGTGTCATTTTATAGACATACAAATTATTAGATCTGGCTCAATTAAATTTCAAAAATAAAGCTGCCATTTAATATTCTAATTGGAAGGGGCAAGCCCTAACAAATTAATTATACAGTAATTCATTTTGAGTTCGATAATGTAATGTGTTATGTTATGGAATTAAATATTTTGTTATTGGATCAAAATTTGAAGTACAAGTTTGTTTAACAAGAAAAGAAAGTGCAGTTGAAGGAAGAACGCACTATCACATTAGATCCATATTATCTGTACACAATTCTGAGCATGTTATTTTTCCATTTATGGTATTACCGAGTCTCTTTCCAAACACACCCGCAAAAAGCAGTGTTTCCAAACGAGTCTCTTATCGTGGAATTCCCACTCATAATCCATCTCAACCGTTGGATATACTAATATTATAAAAATGTCATTTCCTTATGATGTCACGAGAAGCACTGAATCACGTAAGAAAATCCTGAAAAAGTAAAAAACATGGGTTTAGTTTCTGGAACCATCCTGACCCTTCATACTTTCTCTCTCTACTCGCTCCCTCTCACTCTCACTCCAAACCCCAAATCCTTTTAGAACTCTCTAGAACAGTAGAACCGAGGCCCAGTCTCTCTCTCTCTTTACATAAAAACCCTTTCTTTCCTACCCCTCTCTCTATAACTCTCTATTTGCATTTTCGTCCGATTCGTTGAAATTTCTCTCTCTAGATTTGGATTCAAGTTCTTATTCTGAGCAATGGATGAGGATTTTGATATGCCGGCGGCGGAGGAGATGATAAACGACGATTTTGACATGCCGGGCGAGAGTCCGATGATGAAGGTCGGAGAGGAGAAGCAGATCGGCAATCAAGGGCTGAAGAAGAAGCTTGTTAAGGAAGGTGAAGGTTGGGACACTCCTGAAAACGGTGATGAAGTTGAAGGTAAAATTAATCACAACTCAACTTGTCGTTTCGTATCACAACTCAAGTTGAAGGTAAAATGAATCGTTTGAATTTGTTGATTTGTTCTTATTTTTGATGATTTTTGGATGACAGTTCATTATACTGGGACGTTGCTCGATGGAACTCGGTTCGATTCGAGTCGTGATAGGGGGACTCCTTTCAAGTTCACTCTCGGCCAAGGTTAGGGTTTTTGAATTTTTTGATTGTTTTGTTTTACTGATATAGATGGTAATTGTTATCTCATTTATAACGATATTGTTGATCTAGGCTGTAAATTGTACTGTTGAATTCATTAAGCTAAGGATATGTTGGTTTAGAAAATAGGCCAACATTTCTATTGGAAAATAGGGAGTTTTGAGTTCATTGCCTAGTTCTTATGGTAATTGATACATTTGTAGATGGGTAAATTAAATCTGCTGTATATACCCACTTATTGAAACTCATATAGAAATGAGACTTTGAATTTCTATTACTATAATATCTAGTAGATCATAGATTAGTGATGAGAATAATTTTGGCATTTTTTCTTTCCATGGGTTATTTATTCGGTGTAGTTTCTCACTTTTAGGGTTGCCAACTTCCTCTTTGATGTGGAAAATTAACAGTTTGATGGTCAGGATTTGTGTGTACTTTGAGGTATAACAACTTCCTAAAATGGGTTTCAGGTGTCTGCAAGACACCGATTCAAGTTTTTTTTTTTTTTTTTTTTTTTTTTTTTTTTTTTAAGTTCTTATTTTAATAGTTTAATAAATGGGGCTGATTTGTGTCTCTGTAGTTATCTGTGTCTATATACAAACCTTTGTTCTAACCTATTTTAGGGGAACAGTAATGTGAGCTAATGTACTTTTGAAATGCCTGCATATTAAAAAATTTGAGCCTGCACACATGCTCAAATATATAAGTCTGTGCATGCTAACTTATGTGCTCTACAATTATGAAGTGTTTGTAATCACACCACTGTGCATGCCTATAGGTGCATCTGTTTTGTTTCAAAGCTTTGACAAATTTCTATGTTAAAAGAATATTCCATATAGAATTCTTTTACAGTTATAAGCTGGCATCATTACCTACTAAGCATAAGAGAAATATTTTTTAAGATTTACTTCTCCAGGTTTTCTAATTTCCCAGCAGTGGGTACAAGAAATCAGAAAGAAAAAGAAACAAAACAGAAAGTGAATTGTTCTCTTGGGCCTACAAAATTTGTAACACTCTGGATTAGGTGTACTGCAGGGGAACACATATCTCTACTCTTTTCTTTAAGGATGTGTGGATATTTCTTTCTCGTTCTTTTGTCTTGGTTTAGTTTTAAATTGCCCTCTTATATCTAAGATGAATCTTGAATTTTTTGATATAGTACTATGGTACCAATGAGCACCAACCCAATCACAGAACAAAGTCTTAATTGGTCATGTTACCTCAGTTCATACGTTCTTGAGATTAGCTCAACATATTAATCGATGTAAGAACTGCTTGCAGTGTTATGGTTGGTGTATCTTATGACATTTGTGTTTTTTCATGACAGGGCAAGTAATAAAGGGATGGGATCTAGGTATTAAGACAATGAAGAAGGGGGAGAATGCCATTTTCACCATTCCTCCAGAGCTTGCTTATGGTGAGGCTGGTTCTCCCCCAACCATTCCTTCGAATGCTACTCTTCAATTCGACGTTGAATTGCTTTCCTGGGTCAGTGTCAAGGACATATGCAAGGACGGTGGGATATTCAAGAAGATCCTTACGATAGGGGATAAATGGGAGAATCCAAAGGACCTTGATGAAGTGCTAGGTGAAGGATTTGATGTTTTGACTACTTTAATGTTTTTAACATGAATCTATGGTTTGGCAGTTTGATCTAAATTTTTACCTTGTGCCTCTTGCTTTAAATGCAGTTAAGTTTGAAGCTAGGCTCGAGGATGGAACCTTAGTTGCAAAATCAGACGGAGTAGAGTTTACGGTTACAGATGGTAAAGTTTGTTTGTTTTGTTTTGTTTTTTTTTTTTTTTTTCCCAATTAAATTGCTATGGCATTTACACTTAAATTTGAAATTCTCACCTGTTAAAACAGGTTACTTCTGCCCTGCTCTGGCTAAAGCTGTAAAAACAATGAAGAAAGGAGAGAAAGTTATTTTGACAGTGAAGCCACCATGTAATAAGTTACTGACTCATGGCAAAGTTGTCTGTGTTTTAAAACTGTTTTGCGTTTGGAGCAATCTTTTGTAATGCATCTTCATGTATTTTTTATTTTCATTTTTTGCAGATGGGTTTGGGGAGACTGGCAAGCCAGCCACTGGTGGTGAAGGTGCAGTGCCACCAAATGCGACACTGCAGATAACTCTCGAGTTGGTATCATGGAAGACTGTGACCGAAGTAACAGATGATAAGAAGGTTGCTAAGAAGTCCCTAAAGGAAGGGGAGGGATTTGAGCGCCCAAATGAAGGGGCTGTAGTCAAATGTTAGTTGTGAGCCATAAAATTGAGTCTCTCTTTTACTCGATAATTGTTTGAGCTGAGATGTAAGATTACTTGGGTGTCAAACTTGTCTAGTATCTCACTATATGCTTTATTCTGCGCATGGCAGTGAAATTGACTGGGAAACTACAGGATGGTACAGTCTTCTTTAAGAAGGGTTATGAGGAGGGAGAAGATTTGTTTGAGTTTAAGACAGATGAAGGTATTGTTACTTATCCGAGTAATGAGTTTTTGTAACTAGTGTGTTTGTGTCTGTGATTTGACTTGTCGAGGTTTTAACTTTTAACATCTTGAACAGAGCAAGTCATAGAAGGGCTCGACAAAGCGGTGATGAAAATGAAGAAGGGAGAAGTAGCATTAGTGACGATTGCACCAGAGTATGCCTATGGTTCATTGGAGTCGAAGCAGGAGTTGGCTGTGGTTCCTCCAAACTCAACTGTGTTTTACGAAGTCGAGCTCGTTTCATTTGAGAAGGTCAGTACCTTTTGTTTGATTTCAGGATTTTGTTCTAATGCCCGTGATGGGTTTTTGGAGTCATGTATATATATATATATATACATATCTAACAGTGATATCTGTTCTGTATTCAGGAGAAGGAATCATGGGATATGAACACCCCAGAGAAGATTGAGGCTGCTGGCAAAAGGAAGGAAGAAGGCAATGCATTGTTCAAAGCGGGTAAATATGCAAGAGCCTCTAAGAGATATGAGAAGGTAAAGTTTGTCAATCTGCATTAACACCCCCCCCCCCCCCCCCCCCCCCCCATAAAAACAACACCACCAAATAAATAAATAACAACATGAGTCTGTGTTGTGCAAATGCTCCATGCTGAAGGTACCTTTTGGATGCAGGCTGCAAAGTATATCGACTATGATACTTCTTTTGGTGAAGAGGAGAAGAAGCAGGCCAAAGCATTAAAAGTAACTTGCAATCTCAACAATGCGGCCTGTAAGTTGAAATTGAAGGAGTTTAAGGAGGCGGAGAAGCTATGCACCAAGGTACAGTGAAACAAATATGAAGTCTTATTATGAATGACGAAAATCCATTTTTCTTTCTCCTGTTAAAGTTATTGTATATTCTCCTCTTTCTTTATGGATATTTTCTGCCATGTTCATGCTATATGTATATGCAGGTTTTAGAACTTGAGAGCAGGAATGTGAAGGCACTTTACAGGAGGGCTCAGGCATATATAAACCTCGCTGACCTGGATTTGGCCGAATTTGATATTAAGAAAGCTCTTGAAATTGACCCTGACAATAGGTATGTGCCTTGATCTTTCTATGCATGGTGGCTACATGTGTTGGTTGTTTGTCACAATTTCTGTTAAACGAATTGCTTATGTGCGCTTTGTATTGAAATCAGGGATGTGAAGCTAGAGTACAAAACATTGAAGGAGAAGGTGAAAGAGTTCAACAAAAAAGATGCCAAGTTCTATGGTAACATGTTTGCAAAGCTGACCAAGTTAGAGTCCGAGACTAATGTAAGTCTCCAGCTTCATTGTCTTCTTTAACTTCAGTCCCTTGAACAAAGCTAAGTAATAAATTCAGAAATGGTATACACTTTCTCACAATGGTGTGTTCCTTTTTCCCTTATTGCAGAAAGCAGCTACCAAGGGGGCAGCATAGATGGCAAGGTGCGCGTGGCGTTTGAAATGGGCTTCTGCGTATTACTGGAGTAAACATTCTGGTTTTATGGTCTGCTATCACAGTTATGTAGGAGTTATTTCTTTTAATTTTGAATGTGGATTGCTGACATAAAATTGTCTTGCCAATCATAAATGAAATTGCACGCAAGTACATCTAATTTCTGTTAGTCAGGAGTTTCCGTTAACCTTAATTCGGTTATGAAAGTATTCTCATCTCAGTTATAAGATGGCTGTTTGCATTTTATGTTTTCCGCTTTGAAATTTTGACCAGCAAAATGGTTGATTAAGCTTCACTGTGCCTACCTGAATTGTTGATGGTCTTTGGCCTTTGTAGTGTGTGTGTAAGCTTAATGAATGTAGTGTAGAGGAAAACCAACTTGACTATTGACACTTGGGCAAACTTTGAGACTTGAGAGGAAATGGTTATCACGAGTCATTAGAGGACTACTAAAGTTTATTCAATTGCTTACTGGTGCTTCGGTATTGTCTTTTCTTGCCCATTTTGTGGAGCTATGTTACTTGTAAATTTTATTTTATTGTATTTAAATATATATATATTTTTTCCGTTTAGGAGGGGGAAGTGGGGTTTAATTAACTTCCCTGATGTTTTTTAAAGGCAGGCATTTTTGGTGAAGTTTAAACAAAGTCCACTTTTTAAATGCAGCCAATGCTAGAATGCCATGGATGTTAGTCATTTAGGTACCCTGGGGCAAATGTTCTATCTTTATTTAAAGGGGACAGTAGTATAGTGTACTCAGTATTATAGTGAGAAATTATTATATGGTTCGGGTCATCATAAAGTAAAAAAAATAGAAAAATTACACGGTTCCGTGTAGGCACCATGAAAGTAAGTAGTCCCACACCTTCCTTGGATCTAACAATTAGGAGCGTTTGCGGATCTGGTGGTCAAAAATCTCGACAAAGGAAAACAAGAATCCCGTTTTTTTGTGCTTTTGTGCCTCATACGCTGCTCTTTTTCGTCTTCTTTTATGGGACTTGTAATTGTAAAAGAAGCGAAGACAGTCATGTAATATGTAAGCAAGCGACATTACTGGGAATGTGTAAAGCCAAGTGAAAAATAAAGGATATATCCATCTGATTCTCGCAATGAGTCAGGAGAAACTACCCAAAAACTATGGAGAGAATTATTCTATGCTTGCGTCTATTATGTGCGTTTGTGGAACAGGTGTGTTCAATTCTCTTTGTTTTCCACATAATAAAAATCTTCTAAAAAATTGCCAAAGCATTTCAATACTGTGGAATCTTGTACTCTCATCTGTCAAATTTTCCCCATTTGGGAACTTACTAATAAAATCAAGGCAAAAGTGCCACAAAATAAAAACAAAATCCTAAACTATTGAAAGATTGAAAGTAGCCTCCTCTCGACTATACAAATGTTGCATATTGCCCAAGCACTGGAATACATTTATCGACAGCCATTTTAATGGCCAAAATCTCCTAAACTTTTTGGCCCTTTGGGCTGCCTGTTTTACTTTGATATAAAACTTAGAAATCACCAAGTAATTTGATACGAGTAGAATGACTGAACAAAAAACAGAAGCATAAAATATTATTATTATTATTATTATTTGGATTAAAAGGCTAATACGGTTACGGCAATGGAAATCAAGTCATTTGCAATTTTATTTATTTATTTTTTTGAAAGGCAAGTTATTTTTAATTTGAGAAGCCATAAAAGCTGCAATTTTCCTTTGCAACTCTTCTATCTTAAACTAGGTTTTTGGGCAAAAATTAAAAATAGTAATAATATTAAGAGTAATGATACTCTGTCCGATCAAATTGGCTTACTCCTAGTTCGAATCAACATGTAATTGTCACGTAATTATCTAAATCGTTGATATTTTATTTGTGCGCTAAAGATACCAAAAATAAATATAGAAAAAGGCTAAACAAGTTTTGATGACCCCTCTTTATCTCTCTAATTTCTCCATTCCTCTTCTTAACTCACGGTTCTTTCTTTTTCACTTTACAAAATTGAAGAGAAAACAAAGCATTGAAGTCTCTATTGGTTCATAAAATCAAAGGGAAAAATACATATAAATGTTTATGTTTGCTTGAAAAAAAAAAAAAAAAAAAACCTAATAAGATTGAAGGTATGTATTCATGTTTTTTTTTTTTTTTTTTTTTTTTTTTCACTATATATTTTGGCTTCTGTATATTGTATCAGTTTTGGGGATTTGATTAAAAAAAAAAAAATTCAAAAGTTCATTATGACGTGGATGCGAGAAAAAGAATCAAGGAAGCATCAAGAAGAGGAACGGAGAAATCCAAAAGATAGAGATGGGTCTTCTTTCCATATTTATTTTTGATATCTTTAGTGTCCAAATAAAATAACAATTTAGTTAATTACGTGACAATTATATGTAGGATTCAGAATAGGAGTAGGTCAATTTGATCTGACAAGAGTATCGTTACTCTAACAATAAATAATAAATAAATACATTAGTGATTCATTATTTTTCCAACACAATGATATAGGTATGGTTTTCACCTAAGTTATATAAATCGAGAATGGAGCATGAAAATGGTAAAATTAATTCACAAATAGTGGGAATTGAAGAGAGAGAGAGAGAGATTGTGTGACTTAGATCTTCACTAATAGTTTTAACTTCTAATACGATATAAAAATGCTAAGTTAACTTAATTGAGCCCATTGAAAAAAAATAAAAATAAAAATAAAAAAAGAATGATTATTTTTATACAAGTCACATAAAACGAGAGCGAGTGTGAAAGTGACAAAATTAATTCACAAATAATGAGAATTGAAGCGAGAGAAATATGGTGACTCAGTGAAGTCTTCACTAATAGGTCTAACTTCTAATACGGTTTTATACCAAGCTAACTTAATTGAGGGTATTATCATATTTTACACATAATATTTTATTATTTTAGCGCTCAGAAAGTGCAATAGAAGGGTAATACTACTTTGTAATTGGGTCAAATTCATTTGAAACTATAGTATTTAAACTGAATAAAACGTATTCATAGTTGGGCCTAGTTCGTTTGAAGCTTAGTACTCAAACCTAGTCAGTGGGCCTAATTCATTTTTAAAATTTTATAAGTTTAGTACTCAAACTTAGTGGGCCTCATTCATTTTCTAAATTTTAGTACTTTAATTTGGGCTGGGTGCGCCAGGCAAATGCGGCACTAAGGTCCAACCAATACCAAGCTTACTATGGTGGGACCAAATCCAACTATTGTTTTGGTGTATGACTGGAGAGAATACTTTATCAAAAAAATATGACTGGAGTGAATACTTTCTCAAAAAACCTCAAAAAGAAAGATAGACCAGGCGAAGGCAAGGCCTCATCTTTTATAACTATCCTCTGCTTCCAACTTTTCCCTCCCATTCGATGTGGGACAACTGCCCCTACGAATAATTTGACTCTTTGTCTGTTGAAGAACACACATTCCATGGCCAAGTATCAGTGAGCACCAAAAGGTACTATCTCTCTCTTCGCCAGTAAATTTGAGATTGTTTGTTGTAATTTACATGAACTATGTTCTTCACCACTTATATATATTTTTACCAAATTAATATGCCATCTTGAGGGTTGGTTTGTATCCGTTTGTCCTGATCATCATCAATGTCTTCCTAAGAAAAAAAATTAAATGGAGTTTCAATTGTGTCCAGAAGTTCTATAATGCATGAATGAACTACTGTAAACCTTGTTCCATGTTTGTTTGCCTAGAATCTTCATAATTTGGTTGAGGAAATTTTAGTCTGCAGTCTAGTGGTGGTAAACAAGTTTTATAGGATGTTGATTTTTGTATGAAGCAAAATGGATTCTTTTAGACTAGTTGCCCCTCGTGTTTGACCTATGTTCGGTCTCTTCTTATGTTAAAATTGTTCACTCAATGTCTGAGCTGTGCCTTTCTTCATAAAAAAAGGTGACAATGTAGGAATTATTTTGGTGACCCAAAAAAATATTAGGGATGAGATACCATTGATTAATTGATAGGTCAATTTATACACCGACTTTATCAGAGAAACGGAAAGTCCTACCAATTCTGCTTCGATCTCCTTCATTATAGCTGTGGCCTGCTTCCAAGTATAACCATTGCACAAGTACTAACTGAACAAGGAGATTCTTTGTGATGATTCAAAATTTTAGTTCTCGGAGAAGCTGTGTATGGCTATCCATTGTCTTGTGTTCCTCTACCGACCTCTTATATAGGATTAATTGAGTGACTTTTTTTTGTGAGATTGGAGTCCAGAGCAGCCCGCTGAAATGGTTCACAGACGGGTCTTTTTTGTGTTTGCCGATGGGTACATAGACCACAAGGCAAGTTCATTATCCAATTTCAAATTACAATCTGATGAACTAACATTACTTAGAAGATTCCATTGTTATATCTTCTCGATTTACTGTTTAGCTGCTCGCATTGTTGCATCATTGAGTTATATGTTTATTTGATGCAATATGCACACCAAAAATCACATACCAGCACAAATCTTATGATCTTGCAAGTGGAGCATAACTGATATCGATCCATGTTTCTTGCTTGACTGATCCTAATGCTATTGCTTGGCAGTTGGCCCATGAATGAAGGGATCGTAATTTCATTATTGTTGTTTTTGCTGATCTTGCACACTCTAAATGGAGCTACAGTCTAGTAAAGTTTTGGTGGATGATTTGAAAATAACCACCATTCACAGTCTGGTGTGTTTTACACTTAAATTGCAGCAGTGGAAGGTGATTGTCTGTTGTTTTGATGTGTTGTTCAGGAAGGTGTAAGAATGTAGAGTGGTGTCTATTGATACTTGGAGACTTGAGAGGAAATGGTTATCACAAGTCCTTGGAGGATTTACTTTATTCAATTGCTTACTTGGTTTTGGATGTCATTTCTGGCTTATTCTGATAGGATCTCTTGAGCTTCCTCTATTGAAGGACCTCTTTCTAGGGTAGAGAATGAAATTTCTGATTCCATGGGAGGACAACTGATGCTATCTAAAGCAGTGTATCTTTTCCTCTATGGTTGCTTCTAAATTTTATGACAATTTTTTTTTTTCTGTTCCTGTTACCATCTTATCAAGGAGACTACACCCTTCCTGTTACCATCTTATCAAGGAGTTACCATCTTATCAAGGAGACTACACCCTTGGGAAGGAAGATCTAATCTCCCATTCAAAATTTTGATAATTGATTTGGTACTGTGGTGCACCCTCCCCTCAAAAAATAAATTTAATATCATGTGGGGTCATTGGACCACGTATCAAAT